TTGGAATGCTCTCCGGCAAGGCCTTGAGTGAGCAAACCAAGTGCTTGAGTTCCTTGTCATAGTAGCTGACCCCGGAGAGAGACGTAACGACTGGAGCTCGATGCAGAACTTGAGTGAAGATTCGCTGATTGCCGACCGTGATAACGCCGGATATAATAAAAAACCGGTCATTTTGGCTAGACCATTTAAAAACCGGTTTATAAACCGGTGTTTATAAACCGGTTTGTAAACCGGACTAATAAACAAGACCCTAAGCACGAAGGAGGCGCTGTAGACGAGATCGCGCCAACACCGTGGCCATTTGTTGCATGGAAGGGTCGGACGAAGTGTATATGACTCCACAGTGACGCAGTGAGACGGGCGGAGGGAGACGCTGGGAGATGCTTGGAGGGCGGATTATCATGCGAGATAGGCGCCGCCGGATAACTGCCGGATAAGGCAGCCGGCTCCGTTTTAACGCCCTGATCACGCCATTTTAAGGCCGGCTTCTTAAAAGGCTATTTATATTTTTCCGACATGTTTGCACTCCCTGCGGGTTCAAGCTGCGTTATCACGCAAATTGGACGTATCGCCCAAGATTTTCCGGTGTTACTGTCAAAATTAGAGGATCTCCGTATTCCCTTGCTATTCATACGCCATCATAACCTAATGCAAAGAGCGGCGGCGAAGGGACCAGAGGGCCCGTGAATACGGTCGACGATATTCCGTCGAATCCTCGTACCAGAGATTACAGGCACCAAGGGAGAACGAGGGGAATCTACGTGAGCGGGATTCCTTCCATGGCAGGTCAGGGTCGAATGAAATTAAACGAACGACACACATATATCCGTTGTGTATGCATTCGGGGCACGCTCTCTTCTCCAGTATCCCCCACAGCGAGTCAATTAGAACCAAGAAATCAAGCTCGCTCGTCAATTAAATTATAGAGGAACACCCATTACCAACCATCTATTCATTCACAGTCGAAAGTGCTGCAACAGCAGAGAAGATAATAGCGAGAATTCTAACCGCAGAGATCCACGATCTTGTGTGGGGGTGACAATGGGTCCCGATGATTTCTTCGTCATTGAAGTTCACTTTTAAGAGAGTCATTCCTGAGCCTGGAGTTGCTGGATTGCAGATGCGCAGGCAGCAAGATGCATGTGGCTGGATTCTAGGATGCAGTGCAAAGCTCCAAGAATAAGCACAAGAACAAGGGAAGAAGGGGGCGAATCACCGTCATCGAGGATGGATTACTACCAATACTCGTCATGGCGCTCGTGCCAGAACTGTTACGCCTAGACAAACCCGGCCCTCACCTACTCTCACCGAGCTCGATCGCCAGCTATATACCGAGGGAAAACGCCCGGTCTGCGACGATACATAGCCGTGGGGAGCAATCGATCATCCCCCGAAGAAAAAACGCGAAGAAGACGGCAGCGAGAATGTAACCGCAGAGATCCAAGATCTTGTGGGTCCCAAGTTCTGCTTCCAATCTGCTTCGTCGGCGATTGCGCGGCGAGGGATCGTTGGGACAGATTAATTCCTAAAACCCAAACCGATCTGGATCACAAGGAGGCACACAGGCCGCTGTGTAATGATAAGCGAGCAGAAAATTCGAAATGGGAGTGGGAAACAAGACTAATCACGTGCGGTGTCGCGTGTTTAAGCGGGACCAAGCGTGGACAGATATCGCGGTATAGGGGCTTCTACCAGGTTTCGAAAACCTCCTTGGAATTGGTGTTGAATATCTGGTGATTCCATGCATTTTACTCTGACAATCCATTTTGCGAGAATGTTTCTGGGCAACTGTCCAAGGATTTTTTAACCTGATCCCGGCCGGTACGCTGCATGAGCGCCACCGGAATCCACGCAATCCAGTGTATAGATCTAGATCTCCGGGCAGTAACCTTTTTCTGTTAAAATGGCTCGGGGGGCACGCCTCGTCTTCTCTCCGTGGCCACCTTGTACTTCCCCAAGGCTATGTCTGCACCAACAATTAAGGGTTTGTGGACACAATAAGAACCATATCAGGTACTCGACGGCCTCGCCTCCATGAGAGTGATTTAAATCTATCAAAATATCTTGTGTTACGCTCCCTGTTGATGATCCACAGTGTTCCGATGGATCAAGCTGCTCTGCGTGGCTTCTCTTTCTGTAGACGTGAGTCAGTGTTGAATTGATATCGAGACTGCTTAGCACGCCGGTTACTCCAAATACACCTACACGTCACCTTTTGAACTGAATTCAGAGACAGGAGGCGACGGCCATCTCACGTGGCTTGGGCTTTATCTCCAGGATCTGCCCGATAAAGGCTCCCTTGTTCTCTTGTTGACAGCCCCTATTAGGCCATGTTGAATTGTGTCCACAGATACCGTCAACATGTTCTTGTTCTAAACTCTATTGTGACGGTTTCATAACTAAGTCGGAATTTCCAGGAAGTCGTCATGAGATGATTGATTGGGAGGAGGATGCGACGAGCCCTGCCAGGAATAGCATGAGGGAAATGTGGAGAAGTACCGGGATGCGATTAGTAACCTGGGGGAACAATCTCAGGGGGGATGTAAGGAGCCATATCATTGCTGCCGTCGAAAATAAACGTGGGACGGGCAGCGATGGATGACACGATGCCGTCGCTTATGATTGCCTGAAGGATAGAGCGAGGATATCGCAGATATCTCAGATAGATCCCTGAACTAAAAATCAAAGAGGATCGACCGGGGATTCCGACAGAAACAAGAAGAACCCGCGCAGCGGAGAGAGAAATTGTCGGCCGCATGAAGAATCAGGGAATTCAGCTTGATCGGGCCGCATCCAAGGAGGACTTCTATGGCTCATTCTCGCCTAATGCGATCCAGACCGAAGGTATATGACCAAAGTTGCGTCCAGATCCCACGAGTGCTTCAGAATTGCGGCAGGAATGAATCCTCACGGTCCACGGAGCGGATGATGCCGAGTATATCCAGTTCGCGGTCCAGTATCCTTCCCAGCGCACGAAATGGCTCGACTGCGAGTCGAGCACAAGTTGAACGGGCCTCCTGCTGCGAATGTGATATACAGATCGCCAATTCGATGCAGGCGTAGACCCTCCGCCATCGAGCCAATGACAAGTGGGAGGTGTACCTTCTTAGGTTCCTCCTCTTAGTTGCAGTTAAGTCGAACACAAAATCCAATGTATAAGGATCCCCCGAGCAAATTCATTAAGTGTGATGGATGAGGCAAAGAGAGAGCGAGCCAAAAATGGATGGGTAGAGCTGATGGTTCGACCCCGAGTCGAACGGGCCTCCTGCTGTGAATTCAGTTCAAATTATAGCGCAGACGCGGGCCCTCCGCTATCGAGCCGGTATTCGCTGAGGAGGGTACCTCACGAGGGTCATCAGATGGTTGCCGTGCTCCGCTGCTGGTAAATAAGAAAAGGACTTGAAAAAAATGGATGCGCAAGGTTGAGCTCGTAAAGATAGATACTTGAAACGCAGAGGACCAGAATGGAAATACGACGCAAAAAGGTTCAGAAGCAAACCTAAATGGCTTGATACCGAGTCAAACGGCCTCCTGCTGCGAATCCGAAATGCAGCGACCTGATTCGATGCAGACGCGGACCGCCCGCTATCAAGCCAGTATTCGGTGTGTGGAAGTCCTCGAATATGTCCCTGAATATTCTCGCAGGGTCCGGGGTGAAGTTTGAGGATGGAAAAGAGAATGAGTCGCACGCGCACAAAACCGATCACCGATCCTTGGGGATTGAACCGATACTCGGAGAGAAGCTGTCCAGAATGGTGAATGAGGCAAAGAAAGGGCGAGCCAAAAATGAATGGGCACAACTATTGGCTCGACCCCGTGTCCAACGGGCCTACTGCTGTGAAGCCGCTTCAAATTATACTCCTATTCGGTGCAGACGCGGACCCTCCGCTATCGAGCGAGTATTCGGTGTGTGAGGTCCTCGAATATGTTGTTCAATATTCTCTCAGGGACCGGGGTGAAGTTTGAGCATGGAAAAGAGAATAAATCGCACGAGCATAAAGCCGATCACCGATCGTTGGGGATTGAATGTTGAACCGATACCTCGAGAAAGCTGTCCAGAATGATGAATGAGGCAAAGAAAGGGGAGCCAAAATGCGTGGACACAATGGATGGCTCGACCCCGAGTCGAACGGACCTCCTTACGAGAGTGAAATATCCAGAATGCAAATTCGGTGCACGTCCGCCATCGAGCCGATGCTAGCTGGGAGTGCGACCTCGTTAAGTTCATCAACTGCGCTGGGAGTAGTCAACGAAATTACTCCCCGCCATCCCGCTGCATTGGATCTCTTCTGCAAATTAATTTAGTTCGAGGTGGAGGAAATAAGAGCAATGGCATGGGCTTCAGCTGACAAAATAAAAGACCGCGCGACCGAAAAGGGGGTGCCCGCCATCCAATGGCTCGACCCCGACTTGAACGGGGATATTCTGCGTAAACGGAGTGCCCAAGACCGCACTTAACGCAGATGCAGACCGTCCGCGATCGAGCGGTTCTAAACGGTGAAGAGTGCCTCGTCAGGTTCATCGTTTCCGGTTCTATGAAGAAAAGGTGACTCACCGCCAAAATTAAGTCGGTAAAACAAGATTCAAGAACTAGGGAGCGAACCTCTCCCGCCTGCGGAGTAACGGCCTAGTGGAAACCGAGCCTCAGCGAAAATGACCTGATTTGATCATCGGCGGCTCGACCCCGAGGCGAACGGGGATCTTCTGTAGTAAGGTTCATACAACATCATCATCCGGTGCAGATGCGGACCGTCCACCATTGAGCCGATACCAACAAGGGATTCGTCCCTCATTGAGTGTGAATCATGCCGGCTTCACTGCGTATCAGTGAGACGAGGCAAAGCGGGACGGAGCTTACCCATGGGGCATATCTGGGGGTAAAATTAGACCATGGCCCTCCTGGAGACAACTAGAAGGAATTGTTGGGAAGTGAGTTTCAACGAGAGAGCCTGTACGACAGAAAAATAGAGGCACGACCAAGAGGTGAGCCTAATCCTGGATGGCTCGACCCCGAATCGAACGGGGATCTTCTGCGGGCGAAGCGCTGAACACGTATGCAGTGCAGACACGGACCGTCCGCCATCGAGCCGATACTAGTTGGGAGTTGTCCCTCATTGAGTGCATCGTCTGCGCGGCATATTAGAGAAAGACATTCACCTCCATTCGCTGCTTGAATGTCTCCTGCAAATCGATTGAGCTCGAGGCGCAAGGATAGATGTGAAAACGAATCTCACCTCACTCAGGAAAAAGACCGCGACCAAAAATTAGCCTCTAGTGGCTCGATCCCGATTCGAACGGGGATCTCCTGTAGCGACTACCGTGCATCACAGGAAAATTCACGGTACAGTACATCAGTCAGAGCGAGGCGCAAAGGACCAAATAAAAATCAACTTCACCAGGAGGGACGGAAAAGGAATGCACGACCAAAAGTAACGGACAAACGCACAAGTGGCTCGACCTTGGGTCAAACGGGGATCTGCCGCAGCAAGTGCTGTGCATCACTCATTCGATGCAGAGGCGGACCGTCCGCCACCGAGCCGGTATTATACTGATGGGGTCGAGCCGTTTGTGTCAATGGTTGTGCAGCTGCCTGTGGAATTCGAGAATCCGAAATCCGAGTCGAAGCGTACCTACCAAAATTTGTGCCTCCGCAGAAACAGAAAGACCAGCGGGAAAGGGACGCATAGCGGCGGAGGCTCCACAGACTTCGCCACCGGGAATTCGGTTCATTACCATGCCAGTGATGGACGTTCAAGGACAAGCTACGCCCCCGCATCCCCGGACCCCCGGATCACACCGGGTCACACCGTCACCGTTACCCTCACCACCTCACGAATAGGGCTCTAACCCGTGACCGTAGGCTACGGTTCGACGGGTCGTTTTTACGGTTACGGGCCCGTCCGTAAAGGCCTCCGCCGAATTCACTTACGGGTCGGCTGCGGTACGGGTGGACCCGTATACGGGCTACCCGTACCCGTCCGTGTACGGGTCTACGGGTCCACTGGGTAACCTTAGAAACCCCGCCGGAACTCTGCGAGAGAGCGGTGATCAAACTCGTCCAAGAGCAAGTGTAGACCAGTGGTAGATTATAGTCAAGGCAAAGGGGTTATGGAGACACCATAAATGCAAAAAAGGCACGATTCCGTCGGTGAGGCTGTAAATCGGGGGGTTCCAGCTGAGGATCGAGACGCCACACAGGCTTCGAGAGCGCGATTTGAACGCGATTTTACGCGTCGATCGGGGTATGGACAGGATATTAGGAGCAGGATGCACGCGGGATGGAGCTAGAGTGCGATGCCGTGATCTGCCGAGTTGATCGTTGGGCGTCTAATCAGGCGACGAATTCCGCGATTACTAGCGTGCAAGCGTGCGCGTCAGTAGGTAAAATGGTATGTAAGTGGTTTGAATTCAGCTTGGCGCTATGCGGTGTGCAGTGCCACCAAACATTGGATAATTCTATTCAGAAACCCCGGTTGCAGGCAGAAACCCCCCTCTTATTCGGAAACCCTCCGATTATTGAACTTTTGGGGGTTTCTCCGTGATCCGGATGTCCGGCCATCACATGCCAAACAAACAAATGCGAGTTTACCTCCAAGTCGCGTCAATGTCGCGCCAATAAAAGGTTTTCAGGCATTTTTCTCACCCCAAAAGTCTTCTCTTCAGGGCTTATTTTGATTGACATATTGTGCTCCAGTACTTAGATTTGTCCTGCGCAGTGTTCCTGATGCAGTGATCGCTTCTCAGGGCATACACTGAGTTTACTAATTTAGTTTCCATGGTTGGACTTGGAGAGTTGACTTGAAGCGCCGTTCCATGTATGTTCTTGCATGTAGACTGGGTCCTAGCCATCTAATGGCAGCCATAGAAGAAATTGAATCTGACAAATGTCAGAGTCTCCTCGTGAACCTGGTTCAACTGTCAGGCCAATGTTGTCCCGATGATGGCAAAAAGGTTCGTATTTCACTATCCTGCCTCTCTACTACAACCAACACTGCATTTTGAGTTTCTCGGTAGCGCAAAGTACATGTCTTGGATTTGGACCCAAATCAGTGACTTCCGGCCCCATCTGCTACTGGATATCTATGTGTCTCACCGCAGTAGCATATCAGTATTGCGCGCGCATTGGGGGCCCACCTCGCAGCAATATTGACATGCAGTGCCCCCCACTGGGTTCGTACTCACATGACATGGATGGCAGATAACTGTGGAATTCCAACACATAACCATGTTATTCAAGACATAGCTCTCACCTGGGCCGAACGATATCCGCGCCGTCTGCGGACGAAAAGGACTCTTACGGCGCGACGATCTCGTCCGTTTCCGACCACTTCAAGAGGCTTAATCCTGCTGATTTATTTTGAGATCTACAACTATGATCTGAACTGTATTTTCTTGCAGCTACGAACTTGGCCACCGGTCCGAATTAGGCAGGTCCCGGCCGCAGAAACCAAGGTTTCTGGGTAGAAACTATTTTTGGATGGGGGTTTCTGTCTGCAACCGGGGTTTCTCAATAGAATTATCCCCAAACATTGCCCCGTCATTTGCCGATTTTAAAAATTCACCAATTATTCCACCTGTTTCGCTTGCAAATCTCGGATTGTGGAGCTATATTTAACCTGCATGTCTCGGCCAGTTTAAAGGCTGAGACGATACAGATGTTCATGTTCGTTAAAACCCGTTTGCGTTATGCGAGGGATCATTCGGAGAAGTTTTACATTTAACCTGCTATTAATATGTTACCATGTCTAGATACCGGCATTATGTATATAAAAAACCTGTTTTCTACGGCCGTAAACCGTATACGGGTGGGACCCGTCCATAGAGGGTTGCCGATGTGAGCTCTGCGGGACGGTTACGGGACGGGTGGCCTCGGCTACGGCCGCAAACACCCGTTCCGTAAAACGGTTCGTACGGGTTAGAGCCCTACTCACGAAAACACCCATCCAAAATGTCGGGAATCGGCTTGTTCATCTCGTCGCTCTTCCCCACTACGCACGCCGACGCCGCCGAGGAGAAGCCCGCCCTCGCCGAAGACCCCAGCGAGCCCAGCGCCGAGGAGCCAAGAGAAGAGGCGGAGGAAGAGGAGCCCGAGGATGTGCGTCCTTCTTCCTCACTCCGAGCCGCGAGACCGAGTGAGAGCGTGTGTGTACTGTGTGTGTACTGACAAGGATGTGGTATGTAGTCGCACCCCGCGATCCGCGCAGAGTACGAGGCACGGCGCGACTGCGCGCCGATGAAGCACGACTTTGAGAAGTGCCAGGAGAAGGTGCAGGCCGGCGAGGGCTTCAAGGGCGAGGAGTGTGTCGAGAAACTGTGCGTGCCCTCGACGCAGGTGTAAGCCCTGCCTGCTGACCCGCCCTCCGTCGGCGTTCTCGGCGTCTCTTGCCCACAGTCCAGTAACCCGCCGCCCCTGCCCCGAGTCATCGTCCTTGCTAATCCAACCCAACGCAACCTGATGCACTGCGCCGCGCCGCAGCTTTTCACCAGCAAACCTCGACTTGGACGGCCACGACCCGCATACCCTTACACCCGCGTGGCTCTCGGTGCCTCCACGGTGCGGAACTCGGCGGTGGTTTCCTCCACATGAATAGCCTGATGCGCCGCTCCGAGGTCTGCGCCGCGCGGCTCTCGATGCCCCCACGCCGCGCCGCGCTTTCCTCCACACGAAACGGGCGCGCGCGAGAAAGGTGCGCCCTAGAAGTCCGGAGCCCGCAGGAGTCAATCACTCCGACGAGGTGCGCAACCACTGCCCATCTCCTTCCTCACATCATGCTAACATACTTTACTTCCGCCCTTCGCGCGCTTACTCACACGCCGCACAAGCCTCGAGGACCACAACGTCGATGCTCCCACCGCGCCCAGTGTATGGTCGTCCTGCATGATGCAGCGCAAGGGCGGCTGCTGCTGCTGCACACACGCACGCACGCCGCGTACCCGCCGGCGTCTCCACGTCGCGCCGCTCTTGATCTCCCCACGGTGCGTCCCCCGTTTTGCGTGCCGTTCCGCGTTTCCGCACGCGCCGGGAGCCGCAGTGGCTTCGCGCGCGCATGTCCCGAAGTAACGTCGCGCGCGCATGTCCCGACACACTGAAGCTCATCGTACGTACTCTAGATACGCAGTATGTAGTCCTCATGTACAGTAACACGTGACCCCCAAGTGAATACATTCCCTTCTGACTTCACTCACGAGACAAATGGCCGCGCGGCGCGAGTGCTTGGTGGTGTACCACGACGCGCCGAGTATCTGGGAATGATACAAGCCCCGGCGAGCGCTCGAAGGATAAGTACCGTCAAGTTACACTCGGATGTACAGTAAATAAATGTTACCTCGCATCCGAGTGCGAATCCAAGGCGAGTGAGATACTTGCGGGTACAGTGACGTATCCTTCAAGTGGCTGACCGGGGGGGCATGGCCGCGCCTCAGGCACGGGCTCGGAGCGACCTGCACTTACGCCCCAACGCTTGCTAGGACCCCACGAGCGTACAGGGGATGCGTCCTGCGCATTTATGTCGGACGCATTCTGTACAGCAATTTCATCAAATATCTCTGGCCATGGGCAAGTCAGAAGACAGACCTGAATCTAGGAAAAGAATCCGCGACGGGACAAAAAAGGTTGAAAAGAAATGCGTGATGGCTCGACCCCGAGTCGAACGGGGATCGTCCGCGGGAAACGCCATAGAAATTTACGCAGCGCAGATGCGCACCGTCCGCCGTCGAGCCGATACTAGTCCGGAGCTGTACCTCCTTCCCTCAGTCAGAGTATTCATTACAACGAAGGAAAAGGGGAGCCCGACCAAAAAAGACGCTCTATCTCCGAGGGGAGCGAGATACACCGAATCCACGTCAGTGAGTTCAAACCACTCGAAGAGAGAACTCACCATTAAAGCATGATGAGTCATCCATAGACTTGAACGAAGCATGCCTCGACCAGGGTTCAAGGTATAGTTGCCGAGCTTCGATCCAACGCGAGGCGTGTATGCGGACCAAGTTACAGTCAGTAATCGAGTCATGAAATACATTTGAGTGGGCTTACTGGTACTTCGAGAGTGTGTGGATTGGATGGCGTTACGGCGCATGGTTTCGAGCCCT